ATTTAGAGTTTTGAATAAATTTTCCATCAGAAAAAAGTCCTTGAAAAGATGGCCGCTGCTTAGATGTGGCTATCGTTAGGAACTAGTCAGTTTTGGAGATACATTCGAAAATATATTCTAAAGCTCCAAGTACTCCAAGCAGAGGTTTCTTGATTGAAGTTAATTAAATAGAAAACTCTTAAAATAATTATCTCTTAAGTTTGAAAAATTGATAATTTTCCAAATTTCTTGAGAAAAAGAATTTCATTTTCTGTTTTTTTTTTTCCTCTAAAGTTCAGCAATAAAACTAAACGTTAATTAACATTACTGTTTTTTAATTAATACTCAAATTCGAATTAAATATGATCGATTAGAACACATGAATCCATTACAATTCATTAACATTTGTGAAGTTTTTATTTATTTAGCAATTCAAAATTGCGTGCAAGTTTCACTGCAAAATGTTAAGAAGTAAATTATATTCACAAATTAGCAGAACTTAATAATTTTCCTTTTCAAATTTAAATGATTTCATAATCGGATTCAATTAATTTGCATATTATTGTTTAAAAATTTCATTTTTGCTATATATTAGTGTATAAGAATGGATAACAAAAAATAAGTTCGCATTTTATAAAATTGATATTTCTCAAATTTAATCAAAAGAATTACAAAGTTTTGTGATATTTATAAAATATTTTACAATACTTTACAAGGTATTTCATATACAGCCAAACCTCTTCACAACGGCCACTAATGGGAATATAAAAATTGGGCCTCCCTCTCTACATTCTTGCCTGGAGGCAGGAATGTAGAGAAGGAAGAGGCCCGAATGATGGTTTTTACCCCTATAAATTAATGTTATTTTTATGGATTTATTATTAATGTATAGGGCCTGTGGATTGAGAGGGCCCCATACAAGCTTCCAGCGGTTCTATTTGGAGGTTATTTCGTATACATTTAAAAAAGAAACGTTCTTGAAAAAATGGCTGCCGTTTAGAGGTGGCCGTTATGGGAGGTATATTATATATGTATATTAAAGTATTAAAATAGAATAATATTAATAATACGCATTTTTAATTATTAAATAAATAAATACGAAATCATATCACCTTATTTCATTTATGAAATCAAATATAATAAATAAAAATTGTTTAAGTTAAAAAGATTATTTTAAATATTTTGATAAAATTCATTTGTCATTTAAATAAATATTATAAATCCTAATAAGGTGATATATATACAGTACTTACTAAAAGAATAGGAAGAATTATGGAAATACTGTACACATAAATGAGCTACGAATTACAACATTAAATAATAGAAAATAACAATTAGTTATGAAATAAAATATAGTTGTAGTTGAATAAATTAAAAAGAATGATGAAGGTAAATTTCTTGGAAAAAGAAAATCCTATTTTACGTTAAAAATAAAAATATTATTTACAAAATAATTAATGGTAGTAGATAATTGCGTTATTGTAATTACTAAAACATTTTTACTATTTAATACTTTCATTTTGTATTAAATTAAAAATAAATAAATAAATTTTATGTTTTTGTTGTACAATTCTTTTTAGGTTTAATGAGGAAAATGAGGCATTTATTCCAATATATAAAAATATTAAGATAATAACTTATTTAAAGTTACATTTATTTATTAATTAATAAATAATGGAATTTTAAAAATTAAGGAAAACAACTCTTTAAAAATAAAAGCCACATTAAACATTCAAATAATTAGTAGAGCCAGCATTTAAAATGCATTAAAAAAAGCATTAAAGTAGACTTTTAACTTGACTTTTAGAAAATAAAGAGTAATTTGACCTTTAGAATTCTTTTAGTCACCTCTGAAATTTCAAAATATTTTTAAAAAATGATCCATTATGTAAATATCCGGATATTCACGGCTGGATTTATAAATAAGTTAAATAAGCTACAGCTTAAGGCCTCTCTCCGTCCCCATAAAGAAACATTAACGCCTATTATTCAATATTATTTTATGAAGAACGTATGATCTATTGTATGTCATACTTAAGGCCACAATATATTTAAATCCAGCTCATAGTTATCATTTTAGAATCAAATACATCAACTCTTTAATCATATTATAAACAATGTTTTAAACATTAGAAGCTTTCCATAAATTACGTAACACATATATGGGTGCGTGGATATGCATATAATCGTTACAATGCGTTACAGGGGTGCAGTGTTTACAAAAACGTTACGCGTTATGTAATGCTATGGTCTCAACTCTAGGGTAACAGAATGTTTAATTTTTTCTGAAGTGTTCTATAGCAAAGGTAGACTATTATTTATGTCGCTGCTTTGTACATTATATATTTAAACTAATTAATAAAATAATGTAACGCTCCTACTCGGTGTTGTGTATTATTCTTAGTACAGAGTTAAGGATAGGCGTCAGTAATTTATGGACAATCCCTTAATTCTAAACATCTTTTATAATTTGGTTAAAGGTTAAAATAGCTCATTATAGCTATTTTAAACACAAGAGTATCGTTATATTACGTTATACAGACGTATGTAGTTTATGACAGGTGTCTAGAGGGTATTAAGGGGATTTTAAATATACTGATTTTTCGATATTTTTCTATCAAATTTCATTAAAACCTACGTATCAATTCGATATTATTTGTTCAGGCGACTGGCAATTAACCTGTGTATGCGTTTGTTTTCAATATTGATTTTTGAAACATCTGAACAGTATGAAATATAGGACAAAAAGGATAAATCTACTTAAATATTCGAATATTTAATTATTTATTTAGCTTTTAGTTAAATTATCCTAAATATAGTCAAAATTTTAAATAAAATAATCATAACAATTAGAAATTCATGTATGCAATATGGCATGTGAACAAAATATGAATAAGTAAATCAATATAAATATTAATCATAATAATTATTAATTCGGTCTTCATTTTAAAGTCAAATTTAGTTTTAACAAGATTTAATGATCTAAAATGAGATTGTGATACTTTGAATTAACTAGATTAAGTTATGACAATAATTTGAATTGAAAATATGGGCAATTAATTATAATTCTTTACATAATACTCAATCAGGCTGGACTTAGACTTGTGGCCTTAAGCTATAACATATAACAGATTATTCACTACTATTAAATAATAATAAATGTAAAAATGTCAGGTTCTAATGTACAGACTCATAATGTGATGCCCTAAGCTGCAGTTGTTTAGCTTATATGTACTGTATGTGTTTTGTGTGCAAATCAGACTCTGCACTCAATAACAAATATGGCTTAATTAATTCTACTGAACACTGAACATATTTTTATCATACTTAAAATATTCTAAATCTCATGAATTGGTATTCCCAATATAACAAAACATTTACTTTATGCTGAAGCAATTGTTAGATACTAATATTTTTGAAATAAAAATTTTAATTTTTAAAGCTTTCACTTCCTTTTCCTATAGTAATTTGTATTACTCATCCACTTCCTTTTTCAAATAACATTGGAAAATTTAAAGGTAATTATATTATATATAAATATTTTTTTAAACCAACACTTTTAGTTTATATTGTTAATAGAATCTATACAATTTCATCACATTTTCTATACATTAGTGATTATTATTGTTTGGAACACAGTACAATAGGATTAAATTTTATTATTTAAATATTTTTGGTTTATTTTTAGAATTTGATTGATTATTATAACTCCATATAATAATATACAGTACATTAATTAAGAATTTAATTTTATCTGATATTAAAGTTTCATTGCAATGTAGTGAATATTTTGAATATTTATTTTTAATTAAAAATAAAAATTTAACATTTACATTTTAAGATTTAATTGAAATTTAATTAAGGAGTATTCCATTTTAAACAATTAATTAAAATAATTTATTAATTTCTAGGAATTAATACAATGTTTATTTTATAAAATAATCTGATTCTTATTTAAATTTCTAATAATCTATCTTTTATGGTTATCATAGTTAATTAAACATTAGATATAATTAATTAAGAATGTAATCTAGATTTAACTTTAGTTCACAAGAGAGAAAATTAAATAATAATTTATAAATTCCAGATATTTGATGCATACTTTTCAAATTCTTACACACAAAATAATATAATTAAAATGACAGAACATTTTCTCTAAAATATGCATTTAGTTCATATAGATACTTTCTAACTCCTTTCAATTATAAACTGCAAACGACTTATTCTCTTTTCTTTGCGTGTTTATTTTTAACATTGATATTTTATTCAATTCATTTGTACCAGAATCAATTATTTTCACAGAATTTAACGCACAAAATCATTTTATTTTTGTATTAACAATTTAAGTATTTAAGAATTCGATTATTTAAAGTCAATGTGTATTTAATTTAATATTTTTAGCAACGTAAATGCAACCTTTCAAGAGAAAAGTAGCATCTTTCGCAAGATAAATTCTAATTATCATTTTTTTTACCATTACTATACCTTAGAAATCATAAAATTTTATCTTTTTTTATAGTTTTAAACCTTCCTGAATAACCAAAGATTGTGTTTAAAAGTATTTTAATATGATAGTGACTATAATCATCGATTTTATCATTAAACGACTTCGTTATCTTAATATTGAGACAGAAAATATTAATTAATTAAATAAATTTTTTGAAATATAATATTATTTATCTGCTATATGAATAATTTTTGTATAAATAACTTACAATATATTACTACATTATTGCGTGTACTGAATTAAACTTACAATTACTCCCAACAAGTTCAAAGTTTGATAATGTTATTTAAATATAAAAACGTGATAAATATATATTATTTACCAAGAAATATATTCATATAAAAATACGTAAAAATTATTATAACAGTGGAGACTTCATACGTGTTCTGAAACTATTTGTATACGTTTACGTTAATAGAAACTATTTCATTAAGTTATAATTAAACTAAACTATTCAGTAATTAGTTTTATCTTTAAAAATATTTTTGTTTTTATAATATATAAACGAACTTACCCTGTTTCTATTGTGTTCTCCTCCCCAGTATCACGAGATTTTACTTTAAAGTAAAAACTAGGCATCTCGCTGGTAGCAACCTCAAGAGATAATGCTGAATCGCAACTTACAGTTACTCTATATACTGTATAATGATTCCGAACAATGTTATTGTTTTAAAATTGTCATATGTAAGTATCGCTTTATATAAACTTCCAGTTAAAATCTGTAAGTTGTCAATTATTATATAATTTATAAGTATTGAGGATAAACGATTTAAAATTTTTTTTTCTATTTTTTCAAGTTTTTCTATTAAAATAAGACAATGTTTACAAGAATTTTATCAATTGACCTTTGCACTTTATTTCCACTTTAACTTGTTATTTCTACATTCTTCAACAATAGAATAATTCAATATATTGAAGGCATTTGTCTGTTAACGGACAGTCGTATGATAGTTTTTTTTTATAGGAGATAAAGAAAATGAATATTCGTTTATTTTTAAAATAATTTTACGCCTTTACTGTTGTGAATAAAATGTTTACAAATGACCCTATTTAATTTAATTTAAAAAAAATCAATTAAGAATTATAAATAGGCCTATTGAATTTGATTATCTATACTATCTTGCGCTTAATTGACGTTATGTTAATGTACAGGGTGACTCAAAAGTCAGTTAACTATCGTAAAAACTAAATTAAATGAAAAAATACAATTAATTTAATTTTTTTACACGTTTCTATCCATTTTATAAATGAAGAACAAATCGATATAAATAAAATTTACGATCCGTATTCACAAATATATCTAGAGCATAAAAACATGGTTAACTGATTTTTGGGCCACCCTGTATATATTAGCTCTCTAATTAATAAATATTATATTAATGTCTTTAATGTATGTACACGAACATTAATGTAAAATATGCATTAATGTTTAAATTTGTTAATTAATTACAAATAAACTAACAAAGGATATACAGAAAGTTATGAACACGTCCTACCTGTCATGTAAAAGTGAGTATAAACGATGAAACTTTCAATTGAAATAATCTAAAAAAGTTTTAACGTCACTAATTAGGACAATCTTTATGTTACATTGAATTTAATTAGTACACAACAGTTTAGTATACGAAGCGTATAATTTTTTAAACAAGAAAAAAGAATTTGCATATTCTAAATAATCACTCGAATCTGATTCATAGGTTTTAAAGTTCGAAAAAATTGTTTACAATATGTCGCGCGTATCGTTCCATTTTATAATAGTATTTTTAAAGAGGAACAAAAATGAAGGGAATCAGTGAAGGATCCCCATCATTCCCGTTCCTCTCAAATATTAGATCTGAATCTGCCTTGAACCATCATTCCTGCTCCTCTTTAACAAGTAAAAAGTTTAAAATATTTGAATAATAAATAAGAACCTTTTATTAACACACGGAAGACGATTGTATTGTGGATGATTTGATAGATCATATTTGCCATCATAAATGTTTTTAAAAGCAACGTTTTGAAGTTCGAACAAATAAATTTTAATTTTATTCTTGTGTTATCGAGGAGGACTGAAGTCCCTGTAGCTTCTTATAGATCTACCCTGATGAGGATCCTTCGTCGATGTTGACGACTTTTCTCCTATCTATTCGTGTTCTGACATTCTAAATGTTGTTAAATACCGCTTCTCAATTTAAATGAACAGAAGTTCATGTCAGCATTTCTACTGTTTGAATTTATGCAACATTGGAGGATGACAAAGAAAAAACTTTAACCTTGATTCGTGTAACGAAGTAAGACAAAAATTTAAATGATTTGATTCATTTCATTATTAAAATTTGGTAAGTTTTTTGTTTAACAATTGGCATTTTTATAATGAAATGTTCCGAAATAAAAAAATATTAATGATTATTACATTTAAGTTTAAACTGATCGTAATTACATTAAAATCAATTTAATGATTAGAGTATTCTTCATTTATTTTAATTTAAAATTCCTACACACAAATTTGTTATCCTCTTGGTAATTATAATTTTTCTTTTGCAAGTCTTTTGCGTTGTTTTATACACAGGATAAAAAATATTTTTTATGGTTAATTTAAAAAAATCTGATCTTAATACATAAACTATATTCAGCTGATTAATTGTCTAAATAACAAAAACTTTGAATTACATGTATTATAAATGTATTTAAATTGATACTAAAAAATCTTAGGTCATTTCAATCAGTTGGAAGGTTTATTTTTTGCCTAGTATTCACATACACGTTTATAATGTAAATAGACTTAGTAACAACCCGTTGAAATATTCAACAGGTCGTTACTACATCGACAAAAACTTATTTTTCGTGAACGTAGTAATGTATTTTGTTTATTGGGTTTCAAATTGGAAAAAATTGTAGACCTATAATTGGGATGCGATTTGAAAAAATTGTAGACCTAAATTCCCACTGTCGACTGTCTGCCTGTCTGTTGTCTGTCCTTCCTTAATCTAGAGAGCAGAGTTAGATAAATGAATATGGAGACCAGATATGGAAAGCTTAGGAGTAGGAGGCCATCGATTAACTATATACAATCTGATTTGCACCGGAAGTCATATTATTTCAATTCAAAAATTTTCCCCTGAAAGCAGTTAATAGATGACCGGCATGGCTCTATTGCAAGCTGGAAAGTATGATCTAAAGACTCAAGACACTACTAATTTGAGATGGAGAGCATATATTTTATTTATAAATAAGTAAGCGTACAAAATGTAAGCAGACATTAGAATGAAAGAGAATGTGAAGCAAAAGAGTATGTGGATAATCAGTATGTAAAGTCATTTATATATTGCACTGACTTCAATGTTTGTCCTCAACATCAGCAGTCTTCTTCAATCTTATTCCAGATTTTGAACAACGTCTCTTGAGATATGAAGATTTTACACGTGACGGATGGCTCAAGCACATAAAAGCTTTTGGGTTGACTTAGCACACTATCCTTGAGATAATCCCGTAAAATCAGAAGGATTCGGATCTATGCAAGCTATTAAATTCCGTTTCAATGCTTTCCGTAATGCAAGTTCATTGACATTAAGGGCAGAATAATGAACAAATTAATAAAACTCTCTGATTTGAATGCTATTTAAATAAGATTAAGTAAACGTCATCGTTCAATTAGTAATAATAAAAATCCAATTTGGTAAACACAATAGTCCAAAACTTCGAAAGGTATCCACTGTATTTAAAAGATGCGTTACACATAAACCTATTTTTTTGTTATCGATGGGTTTCGCATTATTTCAGTAATTTGTTGTTGAACTTTTTAAAATTTTGTTTAAAAAATGGGATTAAAAGCTCTTTTGTAATCCCTTTCCATCTACAAAAATCGAGTTGAGATGCCATCTTCAAACACGTATCCGGATTTCTGTCCGAAAATTGGTTGTATACCCTTCAATGGATTCCATTTTTTGATATTACAGTTATTGTGCTATTGCTACCGATTGGAAAGTTCGTTTACTGAAGGTGACATTGGAAAAATCGCAAAAAAGAAAACTACATGTTTATTCGGTTCTTAATTATCCCAAAATGTTTCATAGATTTAAATTCTTTTATAAACATCTGTCTTTGGACCAGGAATTGAATGTTTGCAAAATAAAGAATCTAATCTCGTTATGTATCCTACAGATATATATATATATATAAATGATTTATGCTATAATAAAATACAATTTATTCCGACCATTCGGTAGAGCAAAAGAAAAAAGTTTCTAGTGGTCCAGGCGGAATAATGTCTATTTCTTACTAACTGATTTGTAAATTATTTCGGAGGTTATACATAACAAACCTTAATATATTTTATAGTGAATAAATATGATAATTACAACAAAAACAATTTTCTTTCTATAATTCCATTTTTTGATATATTTTTTTGGAATTTCACATTATAATAATTATAAATAAGCGCCATTAGAATACGTTTGGCATTATTATTTCTTTAGGACTGTTGATTATACCGCCAGAGTATCGATTTTCTTGGGCATTCATAATACTGTAATTGTGTGAAAAACCTTTGCGAATGTAAAATAATATCTAAATACAGTACCATATCTTATTTTTCACATAAAGACAAAAATTTATTTAAAAAGTCACAGATTTATTATTATTTTTTTTTGTATTGTCTAAAACAGGGGTGTCCAACCCGCGGCCCAAGGAAAGTTTGAATGCGGCCCAATAAACGTGTACACAAAACCGAAAATTTTTTAAATTATTTATTTATTTCAACGACATCAACTCAAAAAAGAAGTTTCACAAAGCCGTAAACCTTTATACATATTTTATTTTTGAGTGGAAAAGAAATATTTTCAAATACTTAGAAATGTGTGAATGAGAAAGGTATACTAAATAAAGCTGGAGTTGGCTCTCAAAGGAGTATAGACTCAAATTCGGGGGAAAGGAGAAAAAGACCTAAAGATAAAAAGTAATGAGAAAGGTTAAATAGACCTCCTGTTATGCAATATGGACCCTTAATTTTCCAACCTTCCTCACTTCTTTATCTTTTGTCCTCTTTCTCCTTTCCCCCGCATTTGAGTCTATAACAGGGGTGGCTAACCTGCGGCTCGCGAGCCACATGCGGCTCTTTGAAGGATTATTTGTGGCTCTCGATAAATGTACCCGAGTTCCCTTTTCATTTTTGTGTTATTATATTTTAAAAAATTATTATCGTTCCGTATGTGTTTCAAAATGTCTTTTAAAAAAATAAATATAATAAGGCATATTTTAAGGTAATTGAGTAGCATTCTTCTCCAAAAAGCGACAATGACACGTATTTTAGTCCTCTGAATCTGACCTGAGAAGCGTCCATTTCCTTAAAATCCTGGATACGCCACTAACTTGATATTGTTTTATATAAGCCTGGCGCAATGCACAAAGCAGTATCAAGTTAAATATTTAAAAAAAAAAAAAACGTTTATTAACGAACAGATCTGAATATTTTTGCGTATAAAAGTACATATTTACTATCTCACAAAATCAAGTCAAAATAATCTGATAAAAGTTTGCAGTTTAATTATATTTCCGGTTGTAGAAAAATGATTTAAAAATTACTCTAAACATTTTATTTAGATTTAAATATAAACAAAGTGACCTTCATTTGCATATACAATAAGTAGCGTAAGTGTATTAAAGCAACAATGCTTTCATATTACACTTTTTTGAATCTCTCCGACAAGCATTACTAATTTTAAATTCCAATTGTTGAGAGTCTTCCTATCAACGTCATTCCTGCACTGTTTCGGGGTCTGCTTTCTTGAATGCCTAGAGCAAACATTCTTAAATTATATACATATATAAAGAATAAACATTTTAAAAAATGCCAGATATTGAAATTCCTTAAACTTTTTTAAATTATAGGATACTCAATAGTAGGCCTATATTTTATGTAAAATTCTTACAAGAATAATGTTTTTCAAAATAACAATACAGTACCTATATTAGGCATACTGTTAAAGGGAATAATAATCCAAAGGTAATACCCCCACACTCAGATAAATTATTATTCATTTACATTATTAAATTATAAAAGAAATAATTTTTATTATGTTTATAGAGTTGCTGTAAGTTATCTGAATGACAGTACATTTTAAGAATTAATTTACTAAACAATACATTTACTGGAAAAATTCTAAGTTAGAATTGCCAAATATGATTGTAATATAATGTCCATTAATTCGGAGATCATTCATAAAGTTAGCTAAACTGAATATCACTTAAAATAGTAATTATTATTATGAAATATGATTGCCAATTATAATTTCTTTTCATTGGCAAGTATGCACTGATTACAATAAAATAAAATTTTGAATTTTTAATATCATACCCCTGTAATGTTTTATTTGGATAATATATATATTTAACAATTTTCTGGAGCTAAAAAGTTAAGATTTGCAATAATTTTAGATAATTACAGGAATTAATCATCTGTACCCCTGTAATTATGTGAGTAATACTTCATAAGCTTGATAATGTTACTTTAAATTAACATTACAGAATGAATATTTTATTAAAACTTTTTATCTAAATAATGTAAATAGAATTTTTAACCTAAACTTTTGCTGTATCGAGGATACTCTGCCGCTCTATGGTAAAGCATCATCATACATCTTGAGAGTCTAAGCTCTAAATCGGGACANTATAATATAATTTATAATAATATAAAATTATAATTTGTGACGACATTGCTATAAACACTTAACATTAAAAATTTAAATTCATGTTAAAATTCAAGTTGAAAGAATGACTATCAAAATTTTTTAAAAATTTTAAATAAAAAAAAACACATTAATATGAAATACTATTTCTATAAAAATACTATATAAATTTTGTTTAAAATATTTTTAAAATGTCATTAAAATAGAATGTTAATAATGTAAATAAAATAAGTTTACCATAAATTTCCATCTATGGTAAACTGCATCAATTATAAGATTTAGAAACCAAGGAAATTATTACTTAATATGAATAGGAAAAGGACTTTTAAATACAGAGTATCTGAAAAACAAAGTAAAAATATTTTAAAAAGTTTTATTGAAAAAATGGACAAGATTTTTTAACTCTTCCTGCTCTGTGGCATTAAGAGGGCCTTTTTAACAAGCCCATTATGAGTTCAGTCAGGCCCACAATAGAGTGACTAGGTGGTGAGAGAGAAAACCTGACATATCTGGATGGAACACTACCAAAAAACTTCCTGGAGTTTTTCAACCCATTTGAATTTGATCCCAGGTCGTCAGAATAATAGATTGCATCCTTATTAAGCATTTAGCCACTAGAATTTAGTTTTCATCACATGAAATAGTTCAATATTTTCCTCCACTTTTCAAAACTTTAATAAATTATTTCTGATCTATCTTATACAAAACTATTTACAAAAACTGAAATTGATGAGATGAAAAGTTTTCACTATAGGTCACTCTGAAGCAGTTCTGTGATAATTAAATATTATCTGTATGGATCTATCATACAAGGTAAAATAACTACTTTTTTAAGAGTCATCTTTATTATTTCAACAGAAATGCATTTTTATGTATCGGAAAAGTACTGTACATTTAAATATGTATTAATGATTTATAAAATCTGGATGAGATTGAGAATAAAAAGTATAATACTATATAAACTATGTAAATGTATAAAATAATATATAAAAAACTTAAAACTTTGTTTACTATTAAAAACTTTGGCAAAGTGGCAGTAACTAGTGAGACATTTAGAAAAGCATGCATATTATGTGTGCAATCTGGTTGCTCTACACATGCATTAATGTTTTTGCTTTATTTTATTTTTTGTGTTTTAGTATATTTTTATTTGCATCTATGTATTTGTTGATGTATCTTATTTTATTTTCCATTTTTAGTGATAACCTACGGCACGAGATTGCACACTAAAAATGTTTTAAAAATGTTCCAAAATGCATTTATTGTTAATTAATACAAATCTGTCAGCATTTGATTTTGTTTGATCTTGATAAAGGTCATTAAAGATGACCGAAAACGTTTGAATTGGATAATAAATACAGCTACAGTTTATAAGGTTTTTTGAGTAGTGAATCTTTACTATTAAAAACTGAATGTAAAATGGATAAATGAAATAAAAATTTTGGTAAAAAGAAAGGTAAAACATGGTAAAATATTAAATATTACTAAAATACAATGATCTTGCATTGTCTATAAATTAATAACAAAGATTTAAATGTACTTTTCCATTTCATAAAAATAGCAAACATCAACCAACCAAAACATACCAATGAGATATATAATCTAAAATACATTTCTGTTGAAACAATAAAGATGACTTCTTTAAAAAAGTTTTCCCTATATGATAGAGCCATGAAGATAATATCTAATCATCACAGTACTATTCAACATTCTGAAGTTTCTTTACACATTAAATTATGACTGTACCATTTACAACTATTTATTGTATGAAAGAACATTGTCACACTCACAATGTGCATGGACAAAGGCTGTCTTAGTGTCTGTAGGACAGAAAGAGAAAAATAAGAGATAGGCTAGATGACATTTTTGTATAAGAATAACATGCAATTCAAATAGTAATCAGTAATTTATTACACAAATATTTAAATCCTATTACTATACTCAAAAATGTGTTAACAAAAGTTTTTATATTAGACAAAACATGTACACTCTGTAACCAATATTCAGCATGAAAAATCCAAACATAGGTTGGCAAATGCTTTCGATGCCCCTCCTGGGCTCTTCTTCAGGCCAAATTCACTATAACTGGATTCTTATAATCAAATGTTTTTAAATAAGAATGTGCTTCACTTCTAGAAGTTCAAATATGGAAGGCAATCATGCGCTGTTTCAAAAAAAATAATTTTTACCAGTGAAGAAGAGCCCAAGAGGAAATCGAAAGCGTTTGCCAACCTATGTTTGGATTTTTCACGCCAGGTATTGGTTACAGAGTGTACATGTTTTGTCTTGTATGATCTGGTGTGGGGGAAACTTTAGTTAATTATTATATTTTATAATTTATGAAAATAATGTGGTTAAATATATAAATATTTAATACAATAAAAAATTAATCAAAGGGCAAAAATCCAAGAAAATGCCAGTGATTTTTTAGTCTATAATTTTTAATCTTGCCATATTATAATTAGTTTCTAATTAATATATTAAACAAAACATCTTCTAAAAATTTAATTTTTATTTAGTGTAGTCTATATATTACTTGTCAAAACAATTAATTTAAAGCTAATATTTGAAAATGACAACAGAACAAATTATTTGATTATTTATGTTTATCAAACAACTTATTTTAAAAATATGAATTAAATATGATGAACTTTGAATTCAAAATATTTTATTTTATAAACAAAGCAACTGATGAATTCATTGAAATGTTATTTAAGTAAAAAAAAATTATATTGTAATACAGTAGAACCTCCATTATCCGGATTTTCGATTATCCGGATTGTTCAAAATAAACAAAAAATTTTACGAATTTGCTGATTTGCATTTGGCGAATTACGACACTGTTTATGTACGTGATGGAATGCATAACTTTTTTTTTGTTTCAACAATGTCTCACCCGGCACAGTGGCCGTAAACTCTTAAATATATTTTGCGTCGTAATAAAAATATAACTTGACATACGTATTTATAAATAATTTATATTCAAATTACATCATTTCTATGACCAAGGGCGGCGTAAGGCATGGACGACGTGGGCCACCGCCTATGCCTCGNTCCCAGTTCTGTATTTTATTTATTAATGCATTTTTAATAATATATGGTTATTTTAAGCTCACAAACAAATAAATTTTAGTTTTTAATAGAGTACAGAAAAAAGTAATCTAAATTTACGAATGCATGTACTGTACTGTAAATAAAGTACATAGTTGTAAATGTATATATTTTAATATGATTTTGTGCTTTAAACGCTTTTCTAGTGATATTACGACTTCAATATTTGTGGCGGACGGACGTAAAGTCGAATAAAAGGACTTAAACTTGATTTTTATTTTTCCATATACTTTTTTGACAAACGACGTATAATCGGGAACGACGTAACTCGAAACGACGTAAGTCGAGGTATACCTGTACATAATGGTTTGATTGATTAAATTGTCTTATAATTTACACACATTAGGATCTAACTAAATACTCTTAAATGACATCTGTTTGAGCTATTAAACTGATTTTAAATAGTTGATTTATTTAATGTTCATTATATAACTTAACAGCCTTTGAAAATTGTTTGTTGTTTGCCATGCAAGAAGGTCACAGTTAGTATTAAAAGTTAGATGCAATAAATTTTAAATAGTGAAAAGATGTATGTTCCATTTGCTTTTTAGGAGGAATGTATACAGGTTATGAAAAATCAAGGTGAAGGAATAGCTATAACCTTTTCCCAAAGTTTAAATTGCTTTATAGGGATCACAGTTTAATCTGTATATGCTGCAATAATTCATGTTATAGCAATTCCTTTATTTTGCTTTTGTATAACCTATGGCCTTGCAGCCTAGAAACTGCATGCCGTAGAGGGTACTGTAGCCATACATATGCCATTCAAAGGGATCCTACCTTTCTCTACTGTCTATCTCCTCTCCCTTTACCCTCTGGCTAAACACCTCATTTACGGCTGAAGTCTTTCTTGTAGGTATGTATATAATATATATATATTTTTTTTTTCAAAAGCTATAAAGTCATTTGACAAATAGTGTACTTTATGTAATACTTGAATCAATTACTCATGAGAAAAATACAAATCTATCTATGACCAAAATTTATGCACTAGCT